GGGAAGATGGGAGGGGAGAGGAGGGGGGATAGTAGGGGATAGGAAAGGTAGCAGAATACAACAGTCACTAATATGCCATTATGTAAAAATGTGAGTGTGTAACTGATGTGATTCTGCAATTTGTATTTGGGGTAAAAATGGGAGTTCAGAACTCACTTGAATCAAATGTATGAAAGATGATATGTCAAGAGCTCTGTAATGTTTTGAACAACCAATAAAAAAAATAGAATTTGATAATGGCATGAATTCAATTGAACTAAAATCAAAGCTGGACTTAAAAACCTTACAGGTTAGACTTGGAAGAAGAGCTACAGTCTCAACATCGAATCTCCACAAATTTGCAAGTGGTTCATTCAAAAGCCACTTTGTAAACATTTAAAGTATCCAGATCTCTTGCGGGGGTGGGTTTTGTCTCCCATTGTTTCATAGCTCATTTTTTTCCTGTGGGTGGTTTAGATGTGTTTTATTTGGTTGGCTTTGGGAGTTTGAAATTTGGTTCCAAACCCAAGTGAGTCATCCCGAAAGTATGGCGAACAGACTTGTTACAATTACGCAGTAAGCACCAGCCTCCCTCTTTCCGCACCATGTGTGCATTACAAGCCACGTGGAAAGAAAGGACATAGTTACCAAGATCATTGGCTTCCAACCCCAGACCTGCTCATTCCGTTCTGCTGAGCGTCTGCTCTTTGCTAAGTTGGAAATCACAGGGAGTTGGTTTGCATCATGCGCTAATCGAATCAGCTCCACTCAAACATACAACATATGAATACAATGGAACAAATTCACCGAGGAAAACAGAGCATGAGTCTGGCATCAGCTTCCAAAGATTGTACTCTCCCTTCATGCAGCACCCTAAGGGTGTGCCTGTCGATCACTGCACCCCGGAACCAGGAAACGGAGATGTGTCTCCTCCCACGGAGAACTATGGGTTGAACTCTTGATCCTCCCACCTCAGCCTCCTGAGCAGTTGGGATGGCAGGCCTGAGCCACTGCGCCCAGCTCAGCCGGAGGTTTTTACATAAATAAAGTTCACTTTATAATTGGGTGCATTTGG